TTAGCATTACCAAAAATAGTAAAATATTAAAAATCATTTGAACATTTCTAAAGCCATTTGAACAAGTATAATAGATGTCGAATTTTGGTTAACAGTCTTAACATACATTCAGGTACCTATGCTGAAATTTTTGAAAAAATCCATTTTTGGCCGAAATGAAGAAAATTGTAAATCTGTGTGTGAGTTTTTTTGAAAATGCGTTTTCTCTCTGAGACAAAATTTAATGTGCCTCTATTTAAGTACATCGAGATAATACTGGCACTGAAGTGACAAAAACCCGATAGAAATTGTGATAATTAGCATTGCAAAAGTAATTGGAAATATTCAAAAATCATTTGAACATTTCAAAAGCCATTTGAACAAGTTATAATCAAGATATCAGGTTTGGTTAACAGATCGTAAGCAGCACATTCTGAGATTGCCTACTGAAATTTTGAACAAATCCATTTTTTTGGCCGAAGAATGACGAAAATTGTAAGTCTATATGTATAAAGTTTTTTTGCATCGTTTTCTCTCTGAACTAAGAATTTAATGTGCTATTTATTTAGTACGTCAGGAATAATGCAAGCACCAAGATTTGACCTCCGAAAACCCATAGTGGCGATAATTGGCATTGCAAAAGTAATTAAATGTTCTAAAATCATTTGAAAATTTTCTGAAAATAGCATTTGGACAAGTTAAATCAAATATAAATTTTTTTGGTTGTAAGCAGTTGTCACATTCAGAGTGCCTATGCTGAAATTTTGAACAAAATCATTTTGAGCGAAATATGAGAAAAATTGTATTAAGTCTATGTAGCTTATGAGATTTTTTTGCGAATATACGTTTTCTCTCTGTTCTGAAATTTATTGTGCCTAACTATTTGTACATCAGAATAAACAAGCACCAAGAAATGGCCTTTCTAAACCCGTAAGTGGCGAGGTAATTAGTATTGCAAGTATTAAAATATTCTGTCGTTGAGCATTTTCTAAACCATTTGAACAAGTTATAATCAAGATGTCAAATTTTGGTTAACAGATTTTAAGCAGCACATTCAAGATGTACCTACTTTGTTCAGCAAAATCATTTTTTGGTAATGACAGAAATTGTAAGTCTTATATGTTAAAGGATTTTGGCCAAAAATGCGTTTTTCTCTGAGACTGAAAATTTAAATGTGCTGGCACTATTTGATACATCAGAATAATACGATGGGTAACTGGTTAACCGAAATCTCGTTAACCAAGGATCACTGCACTTACAAGTGCAAGTCAATGCGAACCAGTATGGTGTTCCAAGGGAAGATATTTCTGTGTAGAATTGTTCCAGTACAAAAAACTCGGCCAGGATTGGGAGTTGTTGTTCACCACTGCTAGCAGTGTTGATCCTCAGAGCATCACTTGAGGGGGCAGTCTCTGAGTGTCCAGGTGGCCACACCGCCTTTTAAACCATACATTAACAGAGTCAGGACCACACTGCCCACCCCTAATCTTTGTTCGGGTAAGGCAGCAAAAAACGTCAGCACTGACACTAGTGCTGACGCCAGTGGCGATGACACTCCCGGTGATAAACAAACCCCCCCAGTCGCCACATCTTGTGGTAACAGGCCGCGTGTGGGGTGGGGGAGGCACGTGGTTGCTGACACCAACGATAAAAGCCGGCGGCGATAACAGGTATACTGTTGTGATAATGGAGGTGGTAGTCATACTGTTATGTAAGATGGTGATATGCTGGTATACAGTACACGGATATGGTGACGATGGTGAAACTGGCAGTATACAGTTATCTGAGGCGATAGTGTAAGTCATGGTGAAGTAGCGGTAAAGTACAATATAATTTGGGATACTGTTGTCACCCTCGTCACTCCCCCAGCAGGAAGAGCCTCACCACCACAACGGCACCATCAGGCACATATGTACACAGCCACTCAGTCCTGCCCATAGTGCCCATCCATCGATCACATACAGTGTGCATCCTCATGAAAACAATACTCTAGAGCGGGTAGAATTACACGTACCCTGTATTGTATAGCCATTTGGAAAACTACAGCTTATAGCCAACTGTTGTAATATACTTAATCTGATATATAAATGTACGTGTGGTTGTGTCAGTCATACAGCTGGAGGCAGACCTCATGATTCTGCCGAGACCACACACTTCTCTTTAACCCTTCGAGGACGAAGTTTAACCCTTCGAGGATGACGTTTAACACTTCAAGGACAACGCTTAACCCTTCGAGGATGACGTTTAACCCTTCGAGGACGACGCGAACCTTTCGGGAGGAGGTTAACTGTGTTAATCCTTTGACGATGATGATTTAACCTACTGAGGAAAATGGTTTATCCCTCTGAGGATGACGAGTGAACCAATATCCTCACCCAACAACGGAATTACTGTATATCATTCAAAGTTTTAATAAGTCCCTACACCTTGTGGTTCCTCAAGTTATAAAAATATTACTATACAGTATATGGAAGTTCTTAATATGGCAGCTACACACAATTTAGATCAACAAAAACAAAACTAAATAAAAAAATATTGGAAAAACAAGTATAAACTATTAAAATAAAAATCAGTTAAATTTCCATGCAAACCTCAGTATTTCCGTCAACAAGGTACGTACTGTAGAGCTGTGGGGTTCACGCTATTTAACCATTCAAGACAATATACAACAACAAACCAAACTGGAATACAACCCCAAATTACAAGGTTAGGTCTATGTTGTATACTGTAGTAAATGACTTGACACTGTAGCCTCCCGAAGTCACTTAATAATGTGTTGCTTTCACGGCTTGAAGTTCATTTCCTGGTCACTACATCAATTACTTTTATGTTCATTTCCTCCTCAATCCGTCACCAGCTTAGCCTTATATGTACTGCAGCCTGACATCACATATAAATACAAACACAGGTACAGTAGTTTTGGACAGGTTAAGGAAAGAATGCTTATTCAAGTTATCGTTTGATAAAATTTTCAGCCTGTCAGTTTCCTATGATATTGCAAGCATCATGTACATATTAAAAAATAAATAAATAACATATACAGTATTTTTTAATTTACACTAACATTTTCCATGATTATATTGTCATGTGCAAACTATACATTAAAAAACATATATAACTGTTATGCTCGTCGGTAAATACAGTATAAAGAATAAAGTGGTAAGATAAGGTCTCTCAATCCCGACAAATAAAAATTTACATTACCTGTCAAAAATGTATTCAGAGCCACTATAAGGACTCTGAGCCACTATAACACACATTCTATAAAGATATCTTTAGTGTAGCCTAACCTAAACTGACCTGACCTAACATAAACTGACCTGACCTGACCTGACCTGACCTGACCTAACCGAAAGATCTTGTAGACCGCATTAACTAAAGTACCACCAAGGATTCAGTAGAAGGATGCCACTGTATCCCTTCCTATAGAGTATTTATTGATACTCATTTTAATACAAATAATACAAATCTGATAGGTAAGTGAGGAGAAAACTTGTGAGAACTTAAGAAAACACAACTTGAAACTTCTCTTTAGAGCTTTAAGACCTAACCTAACCACCAAGGAGACTACAGATGACATGAACCAACCAAACTAAACCTTTCTAACCTAACCAACCAAACTAAACCTTTCTAACCTAACCAACCAAACTAAACCTTTCTAACCTAACCAACCAAACTAAACCTTTCTAACCTAACCAACCAAACTAAACCTTTCTAACCTAACCAACCAAACTAAACCTTTCTAACCTAACCAACCAAACTAAACCTTTCTAACCTAACCAACCAAATTAAACCTTTCTAACCTAACCTAACCAACCAAATTAAACCTTTCTAACCTAACCTAACCAACCAAATTAAACCTTTCTAACCTAACCAACCAAATTAAACCTTTCTAACCTAACCTAACCAAACAAACTAAACCTTTCTAACTTAACCTCAGTGTCTTAGGTTATTTTTTACCATTTATTTTCATCTTATTCCTCTGCTGGACTTAAATTTTCTACATAACATTAAAATAACACACTGTTAAAAAAATAAATAAAAGATAACCTATATAAAAAACCTTATGAAAAAAATTAAAAAAGAATTCATTAAAAGTATTCTTCATAGGTACACTGTTAGGAATTGAGGCCACTTGTGTTATTTTACTCCCTTAAACACCACCACATCAAGACAACACTACTATTTCATTACCACACAGGGGAAAACAATCAGGTACATAATCATAGAGGTTAAGAATGACATAGAACAAGATAGAGACGAGAAATAAGGTCAAATATAAAAGGTATACTCTAACCAACCATCACCAAAAACTGACAGCTCTACTTTACCTCATAGCTTGTTTCATCTACCTTCTTCTCCCTGGCTGCCATTATTAAAACATTAACTGGATACACTGCCACGACTTTATTATACAAGGATTAATAGTTTTAATCCCTGGTACTCCATCAGGAAGGTTAAACACGAGTGGAAATGTCTCAGCTGATCCTTCCCTCCCGAGGTAACAACCCCATCTTCCTTAACAAAACATTATTACCCTCTTATCACTTATAATAAAACCTCCTTTAAATAAAATTAGACGTTTATTATTTATTATTATTTATTTAGAGAATTGTTATATGTGTATTAAGGTTTATAATGGTAAATATTTTCCTTGGGTGAAATTTTTTGAAAGATCGACATTGTGTATTAATTATTTATCTCTATTTATTTTAGTATTATTAGGGTTTTTTTACTTTAAAATATTCTTAATGGGTAATATATTTGTTTAAGTTTAGCCTAGATGATATATTACTGTACTAATATGGAGTTAAAAGATAAATGTTTACTTTTTAAATATTATTGGAACTGAGTCCATGCAATAACCCCATATGAACAATTGTTATTAAATATCTTTATCTAAACTAAATATTATGATGGTATTTATTTTTACATGAGGTTAACTGTGGTGAATATAATATAGTAGGGAGGTATAGTTAGGGTAGGAGGTGTTATAAAGGGAGAGAAGTGGAGCGGAAGTTGGTATCTGGAGTGTCTGGTTATCAACTGTCTGGAGTGACGCCCTTTGAGGGGGACCTCCACTTATTATTACTGTTTCCCTCGTCCCTCATGCCGCTACCATCATGATTCTTTTAGAAATTAACAACAGAATCCTTGAGGAAACACTCACGGTGAAGATTAGAAATAGTTTAAATGGGTAAGTGGAGAATATTGGGTTTAACAGGAAACCGGTGTAAGGTTTTTGGATGGTCTGCCTCGAGTGAGTCAAGGGAGATGTGACTTATGGCACTGAATATTTACTCCCTTCCCTCCTCACAGTCTGACTAAACTAACACCGTGGATATTAAGTGATGGAAGAGCTTAGGCCAGGAAAATACACTAACGTATATGTGATAGGTATAAGAACCCTTCATAATCGTGGTCAAAATATTTCATGGAAGTCAAACTAAATATCAGTATTTCTCCTAAGTATTTCTGTATATATGGTAATGTATCTTAACGTATATGAACAGAATAACTGAGTGATGATTTATTTTTACAGTTGATATGGTGGGTGGTGGGCGTGATCTTGACCCCACAGCTGCACCTTAACACCTGCCACATCTTTTAATCAATTCTTATTATAAAATCTCAATTGACTCTTTTGTTGTGGAGTTTGTCGTGGTCAGGGAAATACGACCGCTCCTCTGCAGCCAAATCCACACCTGGGCGTTGAACGTTGAGAAGAGTCGAAGCTTTATTTCTCGATTAAATTCTGCTGTGATGCTTAATGGTATATTTTTATACGGGTGAGAGAGGAAGAGACATGAGCCGGAATTTATATAGACATTATCTTGATTATATATTTTTTATTTTTACTTGATCTTAGGTCAGGTCCGAATGATGAGTCTTGGATTACTTTCTCTATCATTGCCACTGTTTATGGTGTGTTACTCGATACTTCAGCAAATTAAAAAAAAATTAAAAATTCACTAGACTGTGTGTGTTATTTTAGCAGCGATGAACCACTGAATGTTGACAGTGCTCAGTCATTAGTTTCCGGTAAAATCAGAATTACGATTTTTCACCAATGGTTTTTGGTCAATTTGCCCAAGTATTGGAGATTTGTGGGAGAAAAAATAATTGTATGCATGAGGTTTCAGATCTTTTTAACTCCAATCAGATATACCATCGAGAAAAAATATTGGTCGTGTAATTATGATGGTGTACCTAAAATAAAACGTTACTCTCAAAACAATACCATTAATATGTTAGTGTGTTGTAACCTTTACCACCTACATCAGGAAAAGTATAGAAGCTAAATACAAGAATATCATATTTTGTACTCGGGGGGTGAAAAAAACAAGTGTGGAGCTTATCATAGGACATCATCATTCGTTACACTTTAGGTTCATTTTATTAGAGAATATGACAATGCCTAGGTTAATATTGGCATTTATTTATGTAATTATTAGATGTGGTAAATGAGAAGAACAGAAGAAAGATATTTATTTCATATATCTGTCACTATTAAAGCAGAAAGCACCACAGTATTACCTCAGAGTAGATGACATACCTGACCCATCTAAAGTCAGACAAGGGTCACAAGGTACAGTATATGTTCACTTCATCATTGTGTGGATTAGGTATAGGAACTTTTAGATGTATTGTAAATGTGAAATATGAAAAATTATTTTACTCGAGTATTTTCTTTTCAGGTATAGTAATCCTCTCTAAATATACGAACCATCTGTCGTAATATTATACACAGTCTTGTGGCTATGTTAAGTAATCTTTGCAGTTGGTGGGAGTTTATCCACAGAATAAACTCCCACAAACTGCAGAGTTCTAGGAGCCATCTCTGTTTAGTCCTCAAGGTTGATAGATTAAAGAGTTTTTATGTCTATTAATTACTATATTTTTATTCACTTTTCTGTCTTGATTTGCTTATTTTTTCCAAGAGGCAGGTACTGTAGACGCTATACTGTGCCGGTACTGTAGACGCTATACTGTACCGGTACTGGTACTGTAGACACTATACTGTACCGGTACTGTAGACACTATACTGTACCGGTACTGTAGACGCTATTATGTACCAGTACTCTGCACACTGAGAGAAGCACTAAACCACTCACTGTATTTAAACTCAGCTGGGATGGAAGACTGGGTGATCCATCTTTGTACACAGCAGTAAAAGAGTTGCACTTTTGGATATACTTTACGTACTTATTGATGGGTTACAAAATAATCTGAAGCAGTAGATATGCACCTGCCCGGCTACCCTGCAGTTAGTAATAAAAAAAGTTAACAGTATTGAGGAAAATAAAATCTCTTATAGTACACTAGTATTAGTTGATTGTGTAGCTTGTGACTGGATACAGCACTTGTGTCCTGCCGTAAGGGTTGCTGACTCATGCCAGGGCCACCCCCAGTTTGTCCTGCTGTAAGTGGGTACCTGACTTTACTGTTAAGGGAGTGAAGGGCTTTAGTGAGTGAAGTACCAGCCACATTGCCTTCATATGTAGTGAGGAATTAGTACACAAGATACTGTAGCTGTACTGTACTGCCCCTAACAAGTCATTAAGTATATAGAGCCCCACTTTCACTTGCAGTATTAGATGGATGTAAAGTGAGTTTGTGAATTATCTTATAAGAAAACTTGAACCGAGCTCTTCTCTTTACAGCAATAAAGCAGAGTCCATTGATGTAACTATAGCAGACTTTGATAGCGTGCTCTACCACTTATCTAACCTTAATGGTGATAAGTCAAAAATACTGGTAAGTTACGTCGTTTTATCCACGTTATTATTTATATTGTACCTAAATTTACTGTTTGACTCCACTTGTAAATATTTAGTTTTTTTGTATTGTAGAGTAATTTTTCCTGCTTGTCTATACATTACTGTTAAACATATTATCCAAAACATGTTGGTAATTTTAATTGTGTTTTAAATGGACATCACCCACTAGCAATACAGTGTTTATTTGATCTGTAATACCTCTTTCACACTACCTAACTTTTGTGGTGAATGAGAAATTGGTCAACTTATGATACAATACATTTCTTTTAAGTTCCATCTCATCTTGTAGTGGAACTTTCTCAAACCATATTTCCAACTTTCCACACTTGTCATTTAGGGAGTGTCTCTGAGAGGTAGGAGTTCTGTATAAGTATTCATAGTATCTTTTGTGACTTCGTTTAGAACTATTTGTATCCTTACTTGATGGCCATATTCGTCTTTATTCCACTTTCCAAGCTTGATGTCTCTATAAAAACGCACCTCAGATGTGTACTGTACCTTTAACTTCCCTGTCTGTTGTTACATTTAGTGTTTTTCTAATACCAAAAGTGGGTACAGTAAGGCTCCACTTTACAAGCAACATGTGTACTGTACTTAGAATGCATTCACCGGGTCAATTCTTGCTAACTGGGATCTCTTTACCCATAGGGTCCCATCATTAAAGCCAAGATGTCATGCAACCCTAAAATTTTAAACCTGAAATACAGTAGTATACTTCAGCCCATATAAATTTTGAGCCCCAAAGCCTGGCCAAACAGTATTAAACTTGAATACTGGTGTGGTAGAGGAAATTCTATACGAGTGCACTTGACGATTTCCTGTTCTGTTATATACAAAGCATGACTGCCATTATCAACACTGCTCCCCACCTCACACAGTACACCGAATATCTCCCAAGTTTCTTTATAGCTTCAGGTTTTAGTAATGTTTAGTTTTATCTTGTGTTACAGATAAAACATTGATGAAATTTTGACAATGACATTTTCTTACACCACCCAACATAACTACCTCACGTCACACACAGTTGTTGCTGGTCGAGTCGTGTTTATGTAACCGATATTTTGACATTTTTACATCAGGATAATTTTACTCGGGTGGTCTTAAATGTTATTGCTAAAAACCTTGTAGTGAATAGTGTAAACATAGAAGTTAGTGAGTTGCAGGTACGGTATGTGTTAAAATGATTGTGTACAGTAAGCTTACATTCTTGTATGGTACCACCCCCTTACTTTTTAAATTACCTATAGCAGACTTTATTTACCGACTAGTGAGGCAAGCAGTTGACTCACTTCCCTTAGGTGAGACAAACCAGTGCATGCAGTCCCTCGTGTTCCAACATTCTGAGCGGGGGAAATGACCTTCATGTGTTCTCTATTGCTGCTACATCATTTATAAACCATCACACCTGTACTAATTTCTCTCTTCTTTTTTTTTATACACCAGGTGAGCATCTCCTTAAAGTTTTACAAGGAGTTGCAAGAACATGGAGCAGATGACCTTATCCAACAAGAATATGGCAGCCTTCTCATGTCCGAATCAGAGTCCGGTTTTAACGTATCCCTCCTGCTGGACCTGGAGAAACTCCCCGAGGACTGGCAGTCGCTGGTCAAAAAGATAGGGCTGCTCAAGAGGAACTGCTTTGCGTCGGTCTTCCAGAAATATTTTGAATTCCAGGAACAAGGGCTGGATGGTCAGAAGAAAGCAATTATACACTACAGAGATGAGGAAACAATGTAAGAACCCAGCAGTATAATTTAAGAACCTAACAATATAATTTAAGAACCCAACAGTATAATTTAAGAACCCAGCAGTATAACTTAAGAAACCAGCAGTATAATTTACCATACAGTACAGTATTTCCTCCAGCAGTAATGTTATAGACAGGTACTATTGGTATAACATGCAAATCACATTGTAATCTGTTATGTAGCTGTGTGTGAATTGAGAAGGGATGGTGTCCTCATACTTGTAATCTGGAGCACCATCTGTTAATTAGTGTGTGTGTGTACAGTATATATTAGTGTGTGTGTGTACAGTATATATTAGTGTGTGTGTGATGGAAGGGATCTCATATATATAATACCTGACAAGCAGTTTCGAAGATCAATTTGAACTTTACTCGATAAAAAACTAACCATTGATTACATTTGCCTTCTTTTTTTTGTTTTTTTCAATGATTTTATTGTTTGGGGGTCAAATGCCGGAGAAAAACAATAAGGTTGGCCGTAGATAGATATTGTGAAGGAAGAAGAGGTACAAAAAAAATATAATAGTGGGATATAGAAGAACAATTTACTCAAGGGATGTTAATGTTATGTGAGGTACTTGTTAACTCTCTCTCTCTCTCTCTCTCTCATAAGTAAATTTCTCAAATGTTGATTCTACGGATAGAGTTGTATTAGAGTAATTTATCGCATCTTGTTATTTATGTATATATTGTGTAGAATGTTTCGAGTGATTTTATCGTATCTCGTCATTTGTTTGATTTTTTTTCTTTTAGAGTGATTTGTCATAAGCCACCATTAATAATTTCTGTGATATTTAGAGTAATTTATCATAACCCGTCATTTAATTTATTTATTTTATTTTATTTTTTATTATTTTGTCGTATTCCGCCATTAATAATTTTGGTTGTATCTTGCGCGTTTGTCTTGCAGGTACGTGGAGGCAAAGGCGGACAGAGTGACAGTGGTGTTTAGTACAATCTTCAAGGACCCAGACGATGTAGTTATTGGCAAAGTTTTTATGCAAGAATTCAAGGAAGGTAAAAGAGGAAGTCAAACAGGTGAGTTGGATTCCACAGAGAGGTTTTAATTCTTTTTTTCAGGATACTATATATATATATATACGTATAGATGGTGCGTACTGTATAGTGAAAACCTCCATATTACGGATTTCTCTCTCCATATAGTTCGTTATATGGGGGTTTCACATCTAACAGACCCTCGATATAATGACCTACGCTCTTAACTCGTAGTTGCGGGTCTATTTGTGTCACTGTTGCTGTAGTTAAATTTACATGAAAAATAATTTGCTTGTTGAGTATTGCTATTTAAAGACACTTAATTTCTCCTACATCTTGTTTGAAAGGGCAAGATTAATAGCCCATAATTCATACAATAATAGCATCTTCAATAGCAGATATGTATTGTTGACTGCTCTTACAAAGGCTAGTTACGGTCGTTTTATAATTACATATGGTTGATGTAACTTGACTCCTCTGACAATAGCTTATTTTATTTTTTTTTTATCATTGTGTCTTTCCAGCGCCCCATGTGTTATTCTCTCACAAGGAGCCCCCACTAGAACTTCAAGATACTGAGGCTAGACAAGGAGAAAATATCGGATATGTTACATTTGGTTAGTACAAATCTCCCTCTCTTACTGTTTCTTCAATGTGATAATTTTACTCATTGTGGATGTCACCGATACAATATTCCATGATTAATTCTCATTATTATTTTGTCTTTAGGGAGTAAATATGTTTGTTATGATGTTAGTGAGCCGCGATATACTTAAATATTAGCGAGTTATTGTATTTTATTGTGAGTAGATATGGTTGTTGTTTATAATATATGCAGTAAAGTATTATTTTTAAATGAGTGTTGGCTCAAAGCTTGTTACCACCACCACCACCACAACTCTCTCTCTTCTCCTTCTCTTCTCTTTTTTTCTCTCTCTCTCTCTCCGTACATATTAATTATTTCCTCCTTTCCCTCATCCCCCGACAGTGTTATTTCCCCGGCATACGTGTAAGGCTGCGAGAGACAACACCATAAACCTGATTCACATATTCCGGGACTACTTGCACTACCACATCAAGTGCTCCAAGGCTTACATCCACTCCCGTATGCGAGCCAAGACCACCGACTTCCTCAAGGTTCTCAACAGAGCGCGCCCAGAACCAAATAAATCTTCATCGGAGAAGAAAACCGCATCGTAAGTATCGCTGCTACACTACTCTTGGGGTCGTGAGAGGATTTAAGGCAGGGGTGTCAAACTCATTTGCCAAGGCGGACCAGATTTAATATGAGTACACAGTATGTGGGCCAAGTAACATAATTATGAGCACTTCGCAATCACCTCTTAGGCGAGTAGTACAACAAAATAAGAAAGGTGGATTTAGTCTGCGCTCGTGCGAAACCTTTAAAATCAAACAAATCAAGTGTTTACTACCTTGATCAATCTTATTGTTTGCTACTGCTGCTTCCTGATAATTGGCACCTCTTGGTATGGACCAGTGCATCAAAGTTTGGCACCAACGACTGAGCTGTAGCAACCTTCAGTATTGAATTAAGGTGCACACCAGTAAGTTGAGACCAAAGCCGAGACTTGTTCAAGTTCATCACAGAAAAGAGTTGTTCATAGACATATGTACTTCCGAACATTGACATAATCTTTGAGGCAAAACATTTAATCCTGGGGTAATTTGGTCCAAAATATTGATAAAATGTGCCAACATCAAGACTCAAAAACTTGTTCCTCAACACAGAATCACACTGGAGCTCAATTAATTCTAACTGAAGATGTTCTGGTACCTCATTAACACCAACAGAGAATGGGTCCCGAAAAATGAAAAAATCCTTCTCAAGTCTTTTAAAGTCAGCAAATCTTTCTTGGAACTCATTCATTAATTTGGAAATCTTGATGCAGTACTTTTTTGTGTTGATATCAGGTGTGCCTTGCAGGGACTTCAAGGTTGGAAAGTGAGAAAGATTACTCTCTGATAGTTGCAATTCAAAAAGACAAAGTTTCATCTCAAAGGCACGAATGCAGTCATAAAACTCTGTCACCAATTTATTGCGTCCTTGCATCTTTGTATTCAAGTAATTTAAGTGTTCTGTAATATCCACCATCATAGTTAGATCTTGAACCCATTCATTATCTTTCAGTTCATGCAAATCCCTTCCTTTCTGTTTCATAAACATCTGTATTTCACTGCGCAATTCATAAAATCGCTTCAGTATTACTCCTGACTTAATCAGCGAACATCAGTGTGACATGGCAGTCTGTGTGTGTTCTCATTTTCCTCCAATAAGCAGTTGAACTGTCTGTGGTTCAGACCTCGCGCGCGTATGACATTATCCATCTTTAAAACAACATCCATGACATTATCCATCTTTAATGTTTTACTCCACAACACTTCTTTATGTATAATACAATGTACATTATAAATTTGATGGTTCGGGTTCACAGCTATTAGATGTTCATTTAATTTTGTTGCCACGCCAGCTTTTCTACCCACTATTTGCGGTGCTCCATCTGTAGCCAGACTCGCAGTCTGTGCCCAGTCAACACCTAATTTATCCAGTGCCCCACCAAACCCACAAAGATGTCATCACCTGTTGTTGTTCCTTTCATTGGTACCAGTTTCACAAATTCTTCTGTTACCTGCATATTTTCATCCACACCACGTATAAAAACTACAAGTTGTGCTACATCACTTACATCGGTACTTTCATCAATTGCAACTGAAAATGCAGTAAAGGACTTAACTTTGTCTTTGAGTTGACTGTTAATATTCTCTGATAATTCCCAATTCTTTCTGCAACTAGTCTTATTGTTCTTTCATTGGTGATGTTGATTAAGTATTTTGTTCTAGGAAACAGCAGATTATTTTATTCAGCTGAGGGATACACTCACTGCTTAGTTTTAGCTCCTCAAGATAAGGCTGGAGCAGCAAATGGGCCGTGGGCCGCATGTTTGGCACCCCTGATTTAGGACATATTTCTACTTGTCTTTCTTATACCATATATACAGTAGTTTTGCCATATTACAAATTGGCTTTCAATCGCCATCTTGATCTTCTGTAGAGTTAGTGAGAATCAGAAGAGGCTTTAACCAAATCCAGTCAAATTGGGCAAAGTCTGGTGTTGTATTTCTGATTTTACCAAAAAAAAAGGATAAAAAAGAAAGCTTTTTATTCATCCTCACACTTACTAGTTCATTTCCTTTCGCTGTGATTCTTTGATGTTCTTTTACTACAGCCAGGGTTAGCGTAAGTGACGTACTCTCAGTCTGTGTGTTATTCCCCCTCGTGCTTGTACTGTTCTGTTTTTTGTTAATACTTTTAATGATCAGTTGTAATGTAGACCACCTCTCTGGTACTTTCCTGGTTGTGTACAACGCTGCCCACTGCTTCATAGCCTTTAATATCAGTACAGTATGTAACTTGATTTTCATGATGGACTCTAACCTATCACCACAAACTCAGAACATATTCATGGTGTTCTAATTATCATCACAAACCTTACAGCTGCCCATTTTACTTGCAGGTTATTCAATACAGAACAGATATGCAGTATAATTTATCTCCCGCAAATAGTCTGTCTTCTCTCCCACAATGTTTGAGGTACACTGCGCATGAGGGTAAGGGATGGTGTCACCTGTAGTGCTCTAGGTGTCTGCTGCCCACAAACATAAACAGAGAGAGCCTGTGAGGTGTAGCTGGGAGCTGTACTCTGTTAATACCCTCGTAGCTGTGTGTGTGTGTGTGTGTGTGTTTGTAATGAATGGTCAGTTCTTGCATTTTAAACCCCAAACTAATATATTTCCTTTTTACTTTGTTGCAGGGGTCGGGCATTCATGCGTGCCAACTGATAGTGGATGTTGTTTCGTATTGAGTTAAGTGTCAACATGATCAACATCTCCATCTTGCTGTGATTGGCTGCTGGGAACGTCCAGGGCATGTTGTGTAGCAGTGGTTTAGCTCCATTAGTGCTAGGACACATGTTGGTCATCACCTTGGAGTTTCATCGAGCTAATTTTTTTTCAGTGAGTGACTTTCGGAAATCGGTGCTGGACTTAAGTACTGCAAGTACACGTACTTGTGTTTTTATTTTATTGCACAAAGTGATAATGAAGTTGAAAAATTGCATTAGCTGCTTTTTCTATGGCCGTGCATACTCCATGTTCCCAAAAGGCAGATTGCTGAGACTCTTATATAGCTTTTGCAGATGAAGTTGTAGGTGAGCACCTCATGTGCAGAGTGCAGTTGTTGTTGATTATTAGTATCTTGAACCCATACAGTTTTATTCCCCAGTGACACTTGTCACAACCATATAGATAGGAATTAGCCTTTATAAAGCCACTATAAATAATACTTTACTTTTGAATATATAGTCGTTAGAAAATAAGCCTTTATGAAGAATCTGAGAAGAGTATTCTACTTGTGAGCATTTGGAGTCTTAGCCTTCTACCATTTAGGGATATGGTCATATAATTGGGTAAACCGCTGCTGTCGTCGTCCACCTCTTCCCTGTGGCCATAATCTTTCTTCCAATGTTAGGAGCCAATATGGGGAAATGCCACCATGGGGTCATAGATTTAGGATCTGAAAATGTGCAGAAAACAAAAAAGTCAAAGGCCTGACTGCCAACCACCAAAGTTGTGTAGGTTTAGTTTAAGCTCATTGATTCTCATACAACTAACCCCTCAAGTGCAGTGAAAGCAGGAAGTGTGTTGAGTGAGCAGTTCACTCTGCTAGCAAGTGAAGGAATAACTACTTCCGGTAATTTGGGTTTAACATTCATACTGCAGACCAATTTGGGATTAGTTCATGAGTATACAATGAGGCTCTGGCTGGCATTACCATTCCTTAAACTCTTCCAATCAGGAAATTGAAACTTTTCAGTATTTGTTGTGATTGCCTTGGCCAGATTAAGAATTTTGTCTCCATTTTCATAATGAGAAGGAAAAAAAAAAGAATGATTATATTTAGAGTAATATTGTTTTGATTTATTGGTGTTTAAAGATATTAAGAATACTGTATTATAGTCCAAATCTGTGGTCTAGGATGATAATGGCAGATCTCATGCATTTCACACAATCAAGTATCGGGTGTACAGTACTAGCTATGGGGTGATATTTCACTAAATGCTTTGGTGAGACACTGACTGGTAACTCTGTTAATCTTTATTTCTTAGAAATTGTGACAGATCTTGCTCATATGTGGTATAATATTATGACACGTTAGTATACCCACCCAGTATATAGGCTAATTATGTATGGTTTAACTGTAAAAATATTGTTATTCTTCACAACTATGATAATGAGAATATTACTTGCATAGGTCAGTAGATTTTTTATATTTGATTTTGTGTTTGTGTTTATTTCAATAGGGGTAAATATGAAGTAATTATTAAATCCTGGAGTATCAAACATTGTCTGTGTGTGAGACGATGGTTATTGGATATATGGGCACTAAAACTATACCCAGTTCCACTGAGGTGTTCTTATCTTGTTGAAGAGATAAGTGATGCACACGCTTGAAACTTTTGTCCGTACGTTATCATAGATATAGTCGAGTGTCTCCGAAGTCCCATACCTTATCCCCCATCCATTTTCTTGTGTCAACTGATAAATGACTACATTACTATGATTGTTGAGATCCCCATCTGCTTATTTATGTCTGGATGGAACTGTTACATAGAGTGGTGAACATTTGTAAATATTTTAGTAAGATGGAAGGTATTATGAAACTTTAAACAGTTTCTCCCTGATTAATGTCATTGTTTTGATGTGGTGGTGGTGGTGCCTTCCTTCATCAATGTCTTCATACCATTTATTAAGAGTAAAGTATCAATTCCGTGGTTCACTTGGGATTATTTATGAGTCGGAAGTATTTGACGAGTTTGTAAAAAGAAAATATCTTTAAGTAAGCACATGACCAAAGTACTGCGCAGATGTTGAGTGATATTCTGCCTGTTGATTATGGTATGACTTAGCACATGTGTTATCGAGCTGAGAGTGTCTCATGTCAAGACACCATTTTATATAATATATATATATATATACTCTTAAAAAAAACATTCCTAATATTTTGTGCCATTATTCTCTTATTTTGCCATTTGCTCCTCTTTATTATCTCTCATTGCAATATTTATTTAGTCTCTTGTTAGTTTTTCCTCAGCTTACAAGTCTTCATTACAGGTGTGACACAAGGTTGTTTCTAGTACAGGTACCAGAGTGTACAGAACAGGTGCATACTTATGGCGACACACACACAAGAATATTAAGCCGGGAGATCCGACGTGACGTAGAGTTATGGTATTGGTCGAGTACGTGATTAGGGAAGGCAGCACCCCCCCCCCCTCCCCCACTATCCTAATACTACTATTCCGAGTGACTTATGTTGTTGTTAATTGATTTTGAATGATTGTGGACCCATACTGTTTGGATGTGCTTGGTAATAATAATAATATTTTCTTCGAGGAACTTGTCTGGGTCATTTTGGGTACGATCAAGCTTCCTATTCCAGTACGACGGGAGTTCCTGGGTTTTGTTCCCCCTCCTGCTCCCGCGTGTTATGGTATGCCTGTGGCCGTACATCTTTCCTGCTTTGCTGAGTACTTGCATATTTGGTCTTGCTTTTTTTTTTATTGAGGGAAGGATTTTTTTTTTTTTTTGTGAATTATATTACTGTATTTTGCACTTGAAAAAAAAATTTTTGTCATATATTTTCATTGGGAATATTTTAAGGAGTGTCGTCACAGAATAAAGGGAGTCCTGAGTGTCCCGCCTACTGTTCGGACCTCCTCGAGATAACCCCAAATTAAAGCGTAAATAGGTTTGACGATCTTGAAAAAAAAGTTATTGTTTACAGAGGCTTAGTTTATGATTATTTGATGATACAAGTATAAGGAGTCAATAGGTGGGGTTATTTCTTTCTCTCTTTCTAAATATTGTTATACTGTTGGCTTATGAGTCATGTTCGCAGTTGTTAGTAGGAGTTTGCCGAAAAGACCAGTGCAGCGGTGCGGTGTTTATCAAGTTTTGTGTTGTGATTATTTCCCCTCCCCTCTCTCCCCTTCTGAGAAACTGATGAGGACCCACTTGCGATAACCAACACATTTCCCTACCATAGATTGTAGAGAGGTAAAGAAAACACAATGACATTCAACTTATTTTGCTAAATTTCGGAGTTAACGGTAACCGAAAGACCGGAACCTTTATTGTGTGCTGTGTTCTTTTATTGTCATGCAGTCTGGAATATTTTGTAAAGTAAATCACATATCTTGTTAGATTTTTCTCAACAAGGGTTTACCATTATGAGTGGCATTTGATGGTGAGAGTTCAATAGGTACTGTATACATTATCTGATGATCCCTTCCCTCGAGGATTTTATGGCAACAACATAGCCAAGGTCTTGTTAGTTATTTTGGTCTATGTCTTGTTTGTAAGTTGGGACCTACAGTAAATATATTGCACTGCTGAACTCCAAATGCTACTGATATATATATTGATACATGGAGCCTAAAAAAATATACTGAAATAATAAAAAGAGAGGTATACTGTATAACATAATTAAACAGTTGTGTGTTCATTTCTAAATCAGTTCTGTCTCAGTAAAGCTTTTTATTGTTTCACGTTTTTATTTGACATTTTTTTATTCCTCTGCCAGTCAAGTATACTTCATTTGGATGGGATAGGGTATTATTCCTCCTTTTTGAATATTTTTTTGCTTTGTGCACATGATGTGTGTTCTTGGCCTGATGACGTTTCACTGCCAAATTAGAAGAATCGTAGCATTTACCCACAGATCAAGTTATGTGCAATTCCACTTTTTGACAGCATTAGCAAAAAAATTCTCCAAAGTTCTTTAATTATTATAAATATATTTTCCAAGATTCTTCAGTAATAATTCTGCACATTATATATAACTGATGTCAATTTTTTTTTCTAATAAAGCTCAATACATATATATAATTTAAACTTTATGTCAGCTGTTGGAAGCTTCAAGATAGAACTGTGGGGTGTTGGAGTGTTAAGCTTGACAAATCCAAGAAACAGTATTTGCCAGCTAGTAGGAAACGACCCTTAATACTTAAGCATGTGGAAACGTTAATATTGCCAGGTGTGGTAAATACTTTTGGCGTGTACATTCTATATATTTATATACGGTGCAGTACTCATTTTACTAATGTTGATAAATTTAGAACTGGCTTTATTGAATAACATCATATTATATATTTGCAGTGTAACAATCTTCATGGCTTCCTTACAATGATTGAAAACTTGTTTGTGAAGAATGAGAGAAAGCTTTTCACTCTTTAACATTTTTAACCACTTTGTGTACTGTAACCCTCTTCATCGAATTATTGGCTGTTATGTGCACTCTAACACTCAAGGAGAGGTTTACCACTGCATAAAGAACGGACAGGAACAAAAGCCTTGACTGTATTATTTAAGTCTTATGCTCCCACTTAAAACAGAGGGACTCTAGTATTTGTTGAAGAAGTCAGTCCTCAAATATCATCACTGGTTCTTGTCCCACATACTTACTAGCTGTTATAGAGTATTAAAAGAACAACCACTTCACGCTATGCGTTCCTTAACTTTCAAAATGTGCAAAGAATGACTTAGACCTAATGATTTGTAATAAACATTTTATCAACCAAGAGTATGCAATAAATTATATATGAAATACTATGGCCTTTTGTTTTAACACCACATAATGACTGTTTACTTCTGTTGAAGATGTTGTGATGGTGAAGGTCACTGAAGGATGGTGAACTTGTAACTACCAAGAATACAAAACCATATGATTAAACAAGGAGAGGAACCACCTGACTAACTTTTGACTAATTCTTTTAACAACATGATAACTTTATATGCTGTACTGTATGCCCAGTACAGTAAGCTGTACACACCACACGGCCCACCCTCGCAACATTAGACAACGTATACAGTTAAAGTTATTCATTTATATAGAGTAAATCAGGTAACCTAGTCCCAGTCACATTGTTACTTCGCCATCTGTATCACTGGTCCTAACCCACACTACAGTCACTCACCACACAAAACTCATCAACATAAACGCACAACACTCAGTAACCAACACTCACTGGGATAATTCAGTATAAAGTAATTTAGAGATAAGTAAAAAAATCTCTGGACGAAAGGAAGATTAATAATATTCCTCAGCTTATTTCACCTGACGATTAAACACCCTATCGCTAAATGGGGGAGGTAAAGTTAGGTCAGCTGAAATGAACAGGGATTCCTTCCTAATCTTTAATGTGATCAAATTAGTTGAAGGTTGTTCACCAATCTTCTAGAAATACAACCAATCAAAATAAATCAGCACAGTTATATTTAATAAGAGTGAACAGTGGCGACAACACACACACACACACACACAAAACAAAAATTGTGTTTAACCTTGAGTGGATGAAGGTGTCAGCAGGAGAGACCCACTATTCCGGCTCCACCCACCTCCCTTATCATTTGCTGAAACTCCCTTCCTCCTCTTGGATATTTGTAGCTGGTTTACATATGCCAATTTCACTCTCCTGATCTTCCTGCTTATCATTTTTCCAGCCGTATTTTTTTTCAAGTACTGTATAGCTTAACGTACTGTAGCTATAATAATAAATTCTTGGTGAGTGATGGTGTCATAAGTATTGCTTCACTTAACACAACATGGACCTGTTACTGCTTCTTGTTGTCTGGTGTTAATTGGTTTTACCTGCTTTACCTGTTCTGATATACTCATTTATTGATGTTACCTGTTTTCATATACAGTACTTATGTTATTTATTGATGTTGTTTGCTGTCCCTGTTCTTATATGTTATTTATTGATATTATATACGGTACATAATATTATATACTCATGTTATTTACGATAATCATGCTCAACATACTCATCCTCAAGTAATGAAGTGATAATTAATTATGATTAATTATCTAGAGCCAGTGTCTTCGTGTGTAGATGTTAAATATGAAAAATTAGTATAAATGATGTACTTTTAAACAACTTCAACTTTCGCCAAACTCTTCACCACTTATTACAGGTGTTCAGGGAGTCTACGAGGTCACACCTGATAAAGATCCCTCGAGTGCAATAATAAATCAGTATACTGTATAAAGAAATGAATATAAATACTGTAGTTAGATTAGATTAGGCAGACCTTGTGCTGATTACATGAAAACAAAATTTCAAAATTACAACAGTATTCTGAGGGTATTCTTATTCTCAGACTTATGAGGGCTACTTTTGAGATGTTACTGGAGAATTAAAGGTGTTAATTGTAATAGATAAACGTTGGGGTAAGAGGATAAGAGGAAAACTTTATACTCTAGTGTTGTTGGCTCATAACATTTTACTCAAGTTCCAAGTTGATCCATGCACCATGTACGGCACTTGTGATGCAATAAACAGTAAATAAAGTAAAGGAGTTGCTTCTGAAAGGTTCCTAGACTACATATTGGGTCATAAATACGCAAAAAATTCGAATATAAAGCAGTTTAGTTCCAATCTTGACTATATTTAACGCGTGTAAAAGTGTATTAAGTAGCAAACAATAATGCATTCATAAATACCCACCAAAAAGGCTCCGTTGCTAATCATACCGGTTAATGTTCTTGATAATATGGAAATAATAGTCTGTTTATATTCATGAATTAATGTGTAGATGAGTTACATGGAGTAGAGGCTAGCAGTTGCCACCACCACTAGCCAGGGTGTGGTGTTGACCGAGAGAAGCTGGCAAGGTCACCACCACCACCATGCTGTCTAATATAACGGCTAAACATCTCATAATTCTTCTTCTCTTTACGCATATAATTGTATCCTGTGGCTGAGTATTACTGAGAGGGATTTACTCTATCGAAATCTAGACAGCATGACAATCTACACCAAAGGTCTCTTGACTATATCTAAAAAAAAAATGAATTGAAGGTCAAGTACCGTACTATGACGAGCTAGTTGTGCTTAAGGAGGATTTTGAAAGTTCTGTTGCATGGAAATGAAAGTAAAACTAAACCTAAAGTTCTATGATAACAACTCAATCAATAGTTTTTATGTGAGGCGGTGGATGACGGTGAACTATTTATAATGAAGTCACTCGATATCTTCAACGTTAAGTGGTTATATATAAACTCATCCTCAATTAATTTATGGAGTGACAAGCGACGAATAAATGCATGCACGAGTAATTTTGTATAACCTCTAAATGTTCAACCTCAACCTCGTAGCACAAGGGAAGGCTGGAGGTTCCTTGTATAACCTCCAGCATTTAACCTCGTCCTCAACCTCGTAGGCAGCACAGAGGAAGGCTTGCAGGCCAGGGTTCCGTGCCCCTCCTTGTATAGTTCTACCCATTTCACGCATCGACTGGATTATACATCAGATGCCTTATATAACTTCAATACAGCATTTTCATGGATGTTAACTGTGACGCTTTATTTGTGAGGCAGATGTGAGGGTAGATGGCCTGTGTGGGCTTTAGGACTCTGAGGTTAAGGGCCCAAAGGGGGGGGGGAGATGTTGTTGAGTCGTGGCCGTCTCCTTGTGATCACTGAAACACTCTGTAACTCTTGTCTGTCACGGCGGCGGATATAAAAGGTATGTGGTGGAGGGTGTGGGGGGTTCTGGGGTTAGTGGCGGATATAAAAGGTATGTGGTGGAGGGTGTGGGGGGTTCTGGGGTTAGTGGCGGATATAAAAGGTATGTGGTGGAGGGTGTGGGGGGTTCTGGGGTTAGTGGCGGATATAAAAGGTATGTGGTGGAGGGTGTGGGGGGTTCTGGGGTTAGTGACGGATATAAAAGGTATGTGGTGGAGGGTGTGGGGTTCTGGGGTTAGTGACGGATATAAAAGGTATGTGGTGGAGGGTGTGGGGGTTCTGGGGTTAGTGGAGGATATAAAAGGTATGTGGTGGAGGGTGTGGGGGGTTCTGGGGTTAGTGGCGGATATAAAAGGTATGTGGTGGAGGTGTGGGGGGTTCTGGGGTTAGTGGCGGATATAAAAGGTATGTGGTGGAGGGTGTGGGGGGTTCTGGGGTTAGTGAAGGAAGACCACACCTAATGGACTGGTTCATTTTACAAATTGGGTAAAGCGGATTTAATTATTTCTCAAAAACAATTCCAGTTTTTTATATTGTAATTTTAAATTTTTCTGTCGTTATAAATGATAATATAAAGTTAGTACTGTAGTTAAATCAGTTATGATGAAATGGCATATACTGCATAAAAAATGTCTTCCAAACCTTCGTGGACAAGCCAGACGGACCTCCACGATAAAGACTTTCCCTAATGGTTAGTAACATATGTACACATTCGTAAAAGTATACTTAGGGTCAGCTATTAGTAATCGCAAGCTATTTTTGTTGATAAGTTCATATAAAACCAACAAAACCTAACAATCATAGAACATATTTTGGTTACGTTAATAACAGGCGGAGTGTTGCACTATAAGTTCTCAACAAATGTATCCAGTTCATAAAATCTATTAAGTCTTGCCATGTTAGTCAAGAGCCAACACACTGGTTGATGGTGGACGCTGGTGTAACTGCCAACAGTCCTCCAGATGGTCAGATAAGCTCACTGCTGTGTTTCATCCACCCACCACAACACCATCTCAACATCTACATTGACTTTCCCTCACTGTCACTCACAACACTTTACCAACCATGTTTTCCTCTTAGATAAAATGATCAATATTAAAATAAGATCAAGAACAGGAACGATAAACAATTCATAATTTTTTTTTAAGCAGGCTTGGGATAGTTTTGATTAGGTTAGGATATAATTCGTGTTATGGGTGTGTTCATTTTGCTTTTGCGAGTCACGAAGTTGCTGTTTTAGATATAAGATTTTGAACTTTTTTCCATAAACAGCAAGTGAAGTTAAGACACCGATCCTTGGTTGGTACGCTGTTAGCTAAGTTAAAGAAAATTTTTATAGAAACTTTGATATGGCTTAATAATTTTGTTGTAGAAACTTATTATCGGTAATTAAAATTATTCTAGTAGGTGAAGCACATTAACTATACCTGAAACAACGACTATGGAAAAATCGCGTATTGCAGTTTAGTTCTCAATTTTAGTTATGCAGCCGACTAAATAAATCTTTAATTATTTTAGATTTAGTTCGTTCGCAAGTGTGTATGTCACGACTTGGGTGTACTGTATGTGAATGTTCTCTTTAAATTATACAGATACATTTGGTTAATCGTTAAAGCCAGGGCCGGATTCAGGAGTGGGCAAAGTGGGCAGCTGCTCAGGGGCCTCCACAGTCTGGGGGCCTCCACATATTACAATATTTTATTTATTTGTTTATTCATTTGGATTATTTTTATTTTCATTCTTTAAAATTCATGTTTATCTATCCCATCACGTAAAACTATGTTCAGCAAGAAGCGTGATAGAAATTAGGCTAGCTACTCCTTAAAATTCATGAATACCTGATTTTCCTATGAACCGTATATTTTTAATGAATGCTATTGTTTGTGTTGCTAATAAAATATTTAGAATTCCACACATTTTTGACGTGTGCGGTAGTAGCTATATCAGGGCTGGTCGACTTGAAACCACATGAATGACTCCAGTCATGTCTCACTTTTGTGTGTGTGTGTGTGTGTGTGTGTGTGTGTTGGGAATTTGTACACTATCAATAGATATACAGTTAATTAAAAATGTCTCAATGTTCTAATTTCCTCAATATAACTGCATATAGCTTCACTCGCCACCCCACCCTCGTGGGTAGTTATGATGAGGGGCCTCCACAAAGAGGCTGCCCATGGGCCTCCACAGGTCTAAATCCGGCACTGGTTAAAGCAATGTAGTATTTTACCTTTGGCGGAAGCGTTGGCGACTAAACTCAGTACTGTATATCAGCGCGAGTGGTGCATTATGTGTAGTAACCTTCACTGCAGACTGGTTAAGTGAAATAAAAAGTATGCGAGCAGCCACCCGGGTGTGAGTGGCTGTCAGTCTACTTTATGCTGTGTAACCTTCATGGCCTCAAATATTGTTTCATCATTTTAGAAATATAGACTAGTTAGATGTACTTGGCCTTCTATGACTTATATGTTTCACCTTGTGGTGTGTACATGCACTGTAGAGTACAGCTTTTGTCCTTGTGCTCATTTAAACACATTTTTAAATACAAACCCTCTCTCTTTTCCCAGAGAGAGAGAGAAATATTAAATTTATATTAATAAAAAAACGTTAAAAAAATCCTGAGCTCTTAGGTTCACCTGGCTTGATAAAAAAAAATGTTGCGTCTTACTTTTTGTGACGTAAGTTAAACGTGTAGAAGGGCCAGGTGAGCTGTACCCCTGTGTATTGTTTCAAGACCTCGGATGAGGTTTAGTAGTGGCAGAAAGGATTAAATGAACATTTAAAAAGCCGAGAAAGATGTATCTATTGTGCAGCAATAGTTGATGGAGTGTACGTGTAAACACACACACTGGCCAGTTGGGACACATGGCTACCTGAGGCCACATACAACAACAGCAGCAGCTGGGAGAAGGAGGTGAGGCCTTGGTCTTTGATCCGGGGTAGTGGCTCGCCTTCATGTCGCGCCGCCTATCCACCCCTACCTCCCTCCCTGTCTGTTCCGGGCTGACCACCCACTGCCACCAACACTGCTCCTTCCTTACCCACCCACCTCTTCCCACTTATGACGTCAGCTGCCTTCTGAATAGATCCAGTTTTTGAAGTCATTATTGTCAAAGTACTGATTGAATTTTAAGGGAAGAAACTTGACGTGATTTAAAGTAACTCACTGCTGTTAGTAAGTAACCAAATCTATTTGACAATCCTAGTGTTTGGTCAGGTTTACTTAGGTTAAGTTAGGCGAAGTTTGTTAGATTTGTTTAAATTGGGTTACGTTATTTAATATAGCCGTGCTAGAGGTAACAGCTCCAAGTACTGTACTCAATGCCTGAGCTGATCACTGTAACTAACCCGAAATTCATTAGTTGGTTTATGTAATGTATACAATATCCTCGATATGAGACCGTCTTTCTTTTTTACTCAAGAAATACTGCACATGTTTGTTTCTACTCCAGTTTTATTTCCAGTGAAATTATTGATTAACAAGAGTACATGATCAGGAAATGTCGCTGACGCCGAGTTATATATATATATATATATATATATATATATATATATATATATATATATATATATATATATATATATATATATATATATATATATATATATAAGTTGTTTTATTAGATACATTGGTGCAGGCGCGGGCGTTGTGTGTAAATATCGTTTAAAAAAATAGAAGCACAGTATATCAATGTTGACAGAACTGACGAGGTTGTCTTAATTTGATAACATCTGCCTGTGATTCCTTAGCATATGTCCGGCTCCCGAGATTCAAGAAAACAGGATCTACACAAGGTCAAGGAAAGAGGAAGAGCATGTTATTTCCACTCCTTTTTACCTTCAGAGTACGTAACTAGACACACAAGCCTAGTATATTGACAGGAGTACGTAAAGGTTTGTTGTATATGAAGTATGGAAGTCAGTGAAAATAATAATACGAATGTTAGCTTCAGAAGAGTATGATTGGCCAGTTGACGCGTATTTAGGAAACCTTGACTGTGTTTGGGAAGGAGGGGGTGTGGTATGAATGTGTCACCAGCAGAGGGCGGTGAGTGTGATGGTACACCCTCATTCACAACACACAAATAAACGCTTACTATATTACACCTATATTCATGTACTGTGAAGTATATCGCAGATGTTTTCATGTACACATCATATTGACATGACAACACACACACACACACCACTGTCACACACATAGTACCGTCACACGCACACACGCGCACCTAGATTCTCACTAACCATCACCACGACCTCATCTGCAAATTTGGTAAGAAGCTTCTACACCATCCTCGACACCGGCTCCTACTACCACCTGAGATCCCTAGCCCGAGAATTGCTGTTCGACACCACAACCGCATCCAGCCCATACGTGCACGAACTGATCGCTATAAGAACAGCCCAGTCCCAACCATTGTAAAAATTAGCAATAACTTGTAATAAACCAGTGTATTCACTCCCAGTAAACACTACTCCTTGCACTGTCATTATGTTGAAATGCACTGTAGTTTGAGCTTTTCCCCATCTAGTTATTATATATCTTATTTATATCACTTATGTTACTTGTATATTATTTGTAATTCGTAACCCATTCCCCAAATATGTAACTGTATATTTTCAGCCTTCTGCCTGCCAAGCTCTTTCAATAAACCGTTAATTATTATTATTTATTATTATTATAGAGGCATCATAAGCACTCACAAGCACCCTACACCCACACACACATAATCACACCCAAGTGTTTTGACAGTTTCTCAGAAGTTTGTGTTGATAATTTTCTGTCAGAACAACGCCTCACATTGACGAATCATTACCGTTTTAAACCACATTGATATTTCATTGGGCCAATCACGCACACGTCAGTCTCATAATCTAGTGTGACAGTGAGTCCGCTACATAACCCAGAAAATAGGTTTTTGTATCGTATTAGAATTTTCATGCCTTGCTGTTTTAAGAATTATTATTTTAAGATAACAAAGGTTGACCTCCAACTTGGCCAGCTGCCATGTTCTCCCAACAAGTCCCTCGACACATTCTCACAAGTTGTTTTTTCATTTATAAATGGTTATAGAGAAGCCATGTCCAGACTTAGCACTCAGATAACATTTGTTCAGGAGTAGCTGGCGAGGTCCTGGAAATAAGGTCACACGATTTATTTCCCCATTAATGTGGTGCTGGTGGAGGAATACGAACAGTTTTCAACGCTCACATTATTTTTTTCACTTCAGTTGGTCAATGATTTGTGAGTCACAGGCCTCGGGACAACAGCCCTGACACAAAGTTTCGTCACAATATTATTTAGTTTGTGTGATATTCATGGCCCAAAAAAAATAGCGAACAAAGTAAAATGATGATTAATGTGATAAAAATAATGTCAACAATTCTCCTCGGTCGTATAGTTGGAGGCTGAGGTGTAATAAGCATCACTCATCCTCAGTTGTCACATCAGTACAAACAATATCTTAACACTTGTCTCTGGGGTCTGGATGTCCTCTGTGGAGAACACTATTTAATTTGTACCAACAATATCATGGTTTTGGGAGGCAGTTAACACATCGAGAATGAGAAGAATAAACGTAAAAGCCTCCCTGTTCTCTCATAGTAATCTGTGAGTGATGTCTACAGTATGTGACAAGTGTGGGGTGAGCTGCGGGTAGTGTGAGTCACGGGCCTAATACCTCGGCCTCTCGCGTCCTGGTTTCCTCAACTCACCGACGTCCACCACAACAACATAAGTATCGAACATTATAACAAATACACCGTGCACTTTGTACTGCTAAAAAAAGTGTATAAGACCTCAACAAGATCATCCACTCTGAAAAAAACCGATTATTTTTACTAAGATACTACAATAGGCTACTATTAGGTGAAACAGATACACAAGCTCTGAATATTTATTATAATATATTCATGACAAAACAGACAAACAGACACCTATATACTGCTCTCCTCGAGACAGTCAACACACGATATAAAAGAACCAACTCGCACCGTTTTATGACACAAGCCAACAGCTCTTACACACGTAAAATTTTTACGATGTTACTACTTGACCTTGAAGTGTCACCACCGAGAAATTTGTGTTTTCAAAGCCCAGTTTATATTCCCTGTACTTGTAGCCCGTCAGCGTTGTTCACCTTCTACGTGTTATGTAAAAAAGCTGTATTTGACCACTTCCATTGACGTTTTGAAAGTGTGTCCCATACGCACGACTGCCCTACACATAACACAACCCACTGCATACTACTTCGGTGTGGTCGGCACTGCATTCGACCTCCTTCACTTAAAGTAAAGCCAGGTACCCAATTTTACAGCCAGCTGGGTGGACTGCGTGTGCGCCCTGGAGTCGAATCACCGACCCTTAAAACAACAGCGACATTCAGAACAACAATAATCTCTGCTAGCCAAATTATCCCTAAACGTATTTCCTTACTTTTTGTTATATATCAGAAATATTAAATATTCCCTTAATATCGTGATACTAATATTTCCACCACACACATATACGTTAGCTATATCCATTACATAAACATATATTAAATATTTCTACCAGATATGGCATTAAAGAGAAATAAAACGCTGACAGTTATGAACACAAGAATCGAGATGTTTTTGCTTCCCGACACTGAATCACTTGTCATTAGTCATCCCATACTTTGTACTTGTTCACTGCTCTGTCTAACACTTGTAATTATTTTTCATTTCTTCGGGAAGTTAATGTGGTTTCATGATCATAGTAAAGATAAACTGTAGTATGGTAATATATGGATTTGTGTGGGAGTTTTAAATTTATTAGAAGAATACGGGGGTCTGTGTGAGGTGTTGCTGTTGCGCGCGGGGATGTCAGTGTCAAGACCAGAGTCACCAATACCAGTCTACCAGACCAGTGTGGCTGCGGCCGTCGTATAGGGAGGGTGGAGGTATCGTTCTCGCGTTCCCCGAGCTTGGTGACTGAGGCCGCTGACATGAGGTGTTATTTTAGTGATCTTTGATGAATGCAGATCTAATCCAAGATATTATATGAGTGATCTCTGGTAACTTAAGACCGCAAATCAAGTTGTTATCCTGGTGATCGAAACCAAGACTTGTGTTATGGTAGTGGTGAGCCCTGGTGCTTTGAAGAGCTCACGAGGTGTTTTGCTGGTGATCTGAAGCTTCAGTTCTTGGTGATCCTTGGTAACTGAAGCCTTTATAACTCTTGAGATGTCCTGCTGGTGACTGCTGCAGATCCTAAACTAGTAGTGTTGTCCTGCTGGTGATTACGCTTGCCTGTACCTGGTGACCGAGCAGGACGGTGATTAACGTGAGTAATTAAAGACTACTGTTGTTGTTCCATTTACCTGTAGTGACTCATGACTTAGTGGGTTGTGGTGAGTAATCATCTTTTAGGTCTTGAATAATATTTACAACACCCCTTCCTCCTCATCTTCTTCTTCTTCTTCTTCTTCTTCTTCTTCTTCTTCTTCTTCTTCTTCTTCTTCTTCTTCTTCTTCTTCTACCTCATCATCCTCCTCCTCCTTCTTCTTCTTCCTCCTCCTCCTCTTCTTCCTCTTCCTCCTCCTCCTCTTCCTATTCTTCTTCCTCTTCCTCCTCTTCTTCCTCCCTCCTCTTCTTCCTCTTCCTCCTCCTCCTCTTCTTCTTCTACTTCCTCCACGTCTTCTACCTCCTCCCAATTCCTCTCCTCCTCCCACCACCTCTCCTCCCCTCCCCCTCCCACGTGTTTCTGATTTCCTTGTTATTTTTTTGGTCGTCGAACCTGAGCTAGTTTTTAGGGAATTATACCATAAATTAATAAATATATCGGTCTACTGTTACGTGTGTGTGGAGGGTTAGGGTAGAGGAGGAGGAGGAAGGAAGAGGAGGAGGAGGAAGGAAGAGGAGGAGGAAGAGGAGGAGGAGGAGGAAGGAAGAGGAGGAGAATTGGTGTGCATGTATATGTTGTGTTACAGTCAGTCGGATTGAGTATAGTCATGTACACACACACACACACACACACACACACACACACACACACACACAGGGAGAGAGAGAGTGGGTAATTCATGTGTGACAGCTGTAGAAAGATGGTTTTGTGAGGGAGCCGCCTGATAACGATCTCTCTCTCTCTCTCTCTCTCTCTCTCTCTCTCTCTCTCTCTCTCTCTCTCTCAAGCAGCAGGGTCGTAAGCCACAAAATCTCAATGCCTCCTCCTGCCTCCCTTTTACCACACCTCCCCTCTACCCCACCCCCTCCTGCCCTCCCCTCCTTAACACCTGTCCTTACTTTGAGGTCTATAATTAAATGTTACCTGTGAGTAGTTTATTGACGTTTGTGGGAATAATATTAATTACCGCCATAATTAGACTGTACCTTAGTGGGGATCACCTGAAGATTAGACACCCTGGTTTATTTGACCTGAAGCATAAGGGTGTCTAATCTTCAGTTGATCCCCGTAATATTTAGATTAAACCAAATTTGCTTGGGTTAGGTTAAGTCAGGTTAAGTGAGATTATGTTAAGTTTGGTAAGCTTAGGTTAGGTTAAGTTAGGTTAGGTTACGTTGAGGAGTTTTAATCGGATTTGGTTAGGTTAGGTTACGTTACGTTGAGGAGTTTTAATCGGGTTTGGTTAGGTTAGGTTAGGTTCGGTTCGGTTAGGTTTGGTTAGGTTAGGTTAGGTTAGGTTAGGTTAGGGAGTTTCAGTAAGTTGTGTGTGTGAGGAAGTGAGGTGAGTCCTCAGGTGTTTTTGTCCACCTGTGTTATATAGTCCCGTTACACCTGGTAGACGCTCAGGCAGGTCCTACAGGTCACAGGTAAACGAGAAGGGGCAGTCAGACCCAAGCAGCCCCACCTCGACCACCTGAAGATTAGACACCCTAGTGAAATGATTATAATGGGAGGAATTTACCTATATATGGCTTGGTGGAAGAGAGGGGGAGGAGGAATGGAGAAGAGGAGGATGAGAAAGAGGGAGAAGGAGGAGGAGGAGGAGGAAGAGAAAGAGAGAGAAGGAGGACGAGGAGGAAGAGACGAAGAGGAGAGAAGAGTAATGTGATACACTAACCCAGGCAGTAGAGGGGTAATGTTACCTCTTTATAATGTGGTGTGGGCGGTGTGTGTGTGTGTGTGTGTGTGTGTCAAGCTAAGGGATTCACTCCTCACACACACACAATCAGAAAGAAGGAATTTATGAGGAAACTGAAACACGTAATAGATGTATAAATTCGTAGCCAACATAAATGAAAAGTATTGGTTGTGTTTTGTTACCGTGAGAGAGGAGTTCAATAAGCTACCCTTCCACATTTTGTTCAGGGCGCCTTACAATCATGATCCCTTGGTGAATTTTTCTTCCTTGCGTTAATTCCTTTTTGTTTTTTATTGCTTTTGTTAATTCTATCCCTTGTTTTGTATTTAGTTTGTTTATATATTTTTTTCTTATTATGTATTTTTTTGGTGTTTGTTTACTGGAGGTCTTATAGTTCACACCAGGAGTAGACAGACTCCCTAGTGTGACCCGGCAATCATCCCGACGTAGTAAATTATTAGGGTGTGTCTGGATAGGTAGATGTTTATTGAGTAAGATAAAAAACAATACCTAGACAGTATAAATACCTGTATATAAACAATGTGTACCGAGACAGTGTAGGTATACAAATAATAAACCCACCCCACTGTTCTCCTTCCTCCCTCCCCAGAAATAATCAACACCAAAGTTATTGAAGTGATGGTAAAAAAAAACAAAAAAAAAAAACAATAGCTTGTATCATAGAGGTATTGGATTCTATAAGCTACCAGAGGTCTGATACGATTTGATTCTCTTATGAATTTTTCCCATTATTCAGTACTATTAGTAAGCCAACCCGGGTCATGTGTGTGGGTGGGTGTGTCAGTGTAAGAGACAGACAATGTGGTGTAGTGTCACATCACATAAGAAGGATTACGGTACTTATAGTGTGGCTGTGTTGGTATGTTGATATGGCGAGGCGGTGGGCGGTCGGGCGTGTGGGTGAAGGAGTGGGTGTGGAGGGAAGGGGTGGGCGGGGGTAGAGGGAATGTGAGTGAGGAGACATGTGGGTACTGCGGGGTGGGTGGGGGGAGGGGGGAGAGGTGGTGTGGACATACGTGTTAGTTGATATGCGGAGCGGATCTCTTTCTAGCGGTAGTCCAGTGCAGTTGGTGTGTTGTCCGGTCTTCCTGGGCGGGGGCTTGTCTTGTGTTGATCAAATAGCTGAGGTATAACGTTAGGGCCGGCTATTGTGGTGGAGAGGTAGTAGGTGTGGCCATGTCTCATCCTGGCCATGTCTCACCCTGGCCATGTCTCATCCTGGCCATGTCTCATCCTGGCCATGTCTCACCCTGGCCATGTCTCATCCTGGCCATGTCTCATCCTGGCCATGTCTCATCCTGGCCATGTCTCATCCTGGCCATGTCTCATCCTGGCCATGTCTCACCCTGGCCATGTCTCATCCTGGCCATGTCTCACCCTGGCCATGTCTCATCCTGGCCATGTCTCACCCTGGCCATGTCTCATCCTGGCCATGTCTCACCCTGGCCATGTGTCCACCTGGCCATGTCTCCACTCCTTTTACGCTGTGTGAGAAGTGATGATTATAATGATCAGTAGATTGGTGGTGATGGTATGGTGGTGATGGTGGTGATGGTAATGGTGGTGGTGGTGGTGGTAGTGGTGGGTGGTGATGGTGGTGGTGGTGATGGTAGGTGGTGGTGGTGGCAATAGTGGTGGTGGTGGTGGTGATGGTAATGGCGGTGGTAATGGTGATAGTGGTGATCCTCCTTAACAGTGTATTATGCATCATATTGTCCGTAGATTTATTTTAGTTCCCAGTTCTGCTTTGAGGTTGTTAGACACCACCATAACACACCATTGCATACCACCATTCCACCACACCATCACCACCACACCACACCATCACCACCACACACCACACCACACACCACACCATCACCACCACACACACACACACACCATCACCACCACACACACACACCATCACCACACACCATCACCACCACACACACACACACACATCACCACACACCATCACCACCACACACACACCATCACCACACACCATCACCACACACACACACACACACACACACACACCCCACACCACACACCATCACCACCATCACCACCACCACACACCATCACCACCATCACCACACACCATCACCACCATCACACACACCACACATCACACACACACATCACCACAGCATCAGGCGTGTGTGTAGTGAGTGATGTATCTCCCAACAACAGCTCACTGTCTCCTCCTCCTCCTCCTCCTCCTCATTATTTTTAAGCACATTCCTGTACGTTGGCCCCAGGTCACCCGCTGACGTAGTAGTAGTGTAAGGAGGAGGTCAGGTCAGGTCAGTGTGCCGTCCTAAGAATCTAGTCAGTGTGCTCTAGTATTTGTTCACGGACACTCCCAGACACTCACGGACACTCCCAGACACTCCCACTCCAGATACTCCCTCCCAGACACTCACGGACACTCCCACTCCCTCCAGATACTCACAGACCTCCCAGATACTCACTCCAGATCCCAGACGGACACTCCCAGATACTCACGGACAGATACTCCCGGACACTCCCAGACACTCACGGACACTCCCAGACCTCCCACGGACACTCACGGACACTCCCAGACACTCACGGACACTCCCAGACACTCACGGACACTCCCAGACACTGACGGACTCCCAGACACTCACCAGCAGCCCAACATGACTCTTACGGTTTTATGAGCAAGTGACCAACCCGTCACTTGATGGTGTGTAGTCTCGTGTGTGTGTGGGTAGGCTAGCAGCTTACCTCCTGCCCCCCTCCTGCCCCACCACCTGTCCCACCACCCTGCCCCACCTCCTGTCCCACCTCCTGTCCCACCACCTGTCCCACCACCTGCCCCACCACCCCCCACCTGCCCCACCACCTGTCCCACCACCTGCCCCACCTCCTGCCCCACCACCTGCCCCACCACCTGCCCCACCTCCCTGTCCCACCACCTGCCCCACCACCTGCCCCCACCTCCTGTCCCACCTCCTGTCCCACCTGCCCCACCACCTGCCCCACCACCTGTCCCACCTCCTGTCCCACCACCTGTCCCACCACCTGCCCCACCTCCTGTCCCACCTCCTGTCCCACCACCCGTCCCACCTGTCCCACCACCTGCCCCACCACCTGCCCCCACCACCTCCTGCCCCACCACCTGCCCCACCACCTGTCCCACCACCTGTCCCACCTGCCCCACCACCTGCCCCACCTCCTGTCCCACCACCTCTCCCACCACCTGCCCCCCACCACCTGCTCCACCACCTGCTCCACCACCTGCCCCACCTCCTGCCCCCACCTCCTGTCCCCACCTGCCCCACCACCTGTCCCACCTCCTGCCCCACCACCTGTCCCACCACCTGCCCCACCTCCTGTCCCACCTCCTGTCCCACCACCTGTCCCACCACCTGCCCCACCTGCCCCACCTCCTGCCCCACCACCTGCCCCCACCACCTGCCACCACCTGTCCCACCTCCTGCCCCACCACCTGTCCCACCTCCTGTCCCACCTCCTGCCCCACCTCCTGTCCCACCACCTGCCCCACCACCCGCCCCACCTCCTGTCCCACCACCTCTCCCACCACCTGCCCCCCACCACCTGCTCCACCACCTGCTCCCCACCACCTGCCCCACACCTCCTGCCCCACCTCCTGTCCCACCTGCCCCACCACCTGCCCCACCTCCCCCACCTCCTGTCCCACACCTGCCCCACCTCCTGTCCCACCTCTTGCCCCAACCTGTCACTCAATAGGTGAATGACAACGCCCATCACCTCCAACACCCCCGCGCCCTCCGTGGATGACTATAGTCTACGCCCAGCACAGCCACGCCCTACATGGCCTCTTGGTGTAGGGGCCGCGTCTAGCCTGACCGTGTGTGTGTGTGTGTGTGTGTGTGTGTGTGTGTGTGTGTGTGTGTGTGTGTGTGTGTGTGTGTGTAATCCTCAGCTCTCCTCTATATTGTAAACACATAATAAGGGATAAAGTTCTGGTAGAAAAAGTAGAGTGTAAACAATGGTGTTGTTTGTGTGGCCAGCAGTTGTCTGTCTGTTTGTTAATTGTTTGTTTGTTTGTCTAGGAATGTTTAACTTTTTTATGATAAATTGTTGTGCTGTATCTTCCACCCCCTCCCTCACCCATACCGGCCAGACACATCCCTAACCTAACCTAACCTAACCTAACCTAACCTAACCTAGCCTAACCTAACCTAACCAAACCTAACCTAACCTAACCTAACCTAACCTAACCTAACCTAGCCTAACCTAACCTAACCAAACCTAACCTAACCAAACCTAACCTAATTTATTTATTCCTCCTAATATTTTTTACCTCTTCATGATATAAGTAAACATTTATCTTCTATAGTAAAATGTCCTCAAGTCTCTAGTTAATGTGCACAACTGTTCTCAAGTATTACCAGAAATTAGATTATGAACCATTTTTGACAAGTTATAATGATTTAATGTACTTATGTTGATATTATAAGTGCTGAATATATATATAAGAGTATTATGTATGTGTGTGTGTGTGTGTTTTGGCATGTATGTGTGTGTGTGTATGTATGCTGTTGTAGTGTTTGTATGACTGTGAATGTTAGTTATGGTAAGCAAGATGGCCGCCCTAGCTTGACGGATGTGACCCTTGGCTGTCACTAACCCCCCTTCACTCAACCTAACCTAACCTCCTTCACTCACTTAAAGCTCAAGATTCTCTCCCCTAGTTATTTAATTTAACAACAGTAGACATATTATTACTTATGTCACGTTTATATAATTTACCAACAGTTATATTAGGAATGTTATCACGTGCGTGGTGACAACATTCATTTGTTTTTGTTTTTTTATGCTGCCTCATCTTGGGTCTGTGTTAGAAAAATACCACGAACGTTATCCCAGCCTCGTCTTGGGTCTGTGTTAGAAAAATACCACGAACGTTATCCCAGCCTCGTCTTGGGTCTGTGTTAGAAAAATACCACGAGCGTTATCCCAGCCTCGTCTTGTTTCTGTGTTAGAAAAATACCACGAACATATTTTCCAGCAGATACGAGCCTAAAAGAGATATATCTTACCCTTCCTCCTGAACTGTCTTAGGTTAGATTCGGTTAATTTCAGCTGAGGTTAAGTTAGATTAGTTTTAAAGTCGTTTAGTTTAAAAGACTATGAATGGTTTAGTAGTTAGTATTCGGGGTATTTTTCCGAGACTCTGTGTGTGTGTGTGTGTGTGTGTGTGTGTGTGTGTGTGTGTGTGTGTGTGTGTGTGATGGCAGTCAAGTGTGTAAAAGTAAATGTTGTTTATGTGAGTATGTTGCCTTAACCTGCCACCAGACACCTCACACACACACACACACACACACACACACACACACACACACAGTTAAGGAGGTGGTAGTGTATCCCTCAACGAGATTGTTTACATAATGATGTCATCCAATAAAAGAGACGACAATCTGCAGTGAACTGTTGAAGATTTACGTGTGTGTGTGTGTGTGTGGGGGGAGGGAGGTAGTGTGTGTATGTATGATTGTATTTTAGTGTATGTGAGTAGTGTGTATGTGTATGTATGTATGTTTACTGTTAATTAATGTATGTACACACACTTCCTTTGTATAATGAAATTAGATACACAAGTGACCCCCCCCCATCAACTATGTGTACACTCACCCCCCATAACTTCTTGACAGCCACTAAGTTTAGGTCTAGGTTAGGTTTTGGTTAGGTTAAACATGGGCTAACTCTTCTTTTGGGTATGGAGTGGGTGGGGAGGGTGTGTTTGGGTGATATGTGGGCGGGAAGGACACACCCACACAGTGATGATGGCCTGCTCTCTCTCTCTCTCTCTCTCTCTCTCTCTCTCTCTCTCTCTCTCTCTCTCTCTCTCTCTCTCTCTCTCTCTCTCTCTCTCTCTCTTACTCTGTTGTCACTTCCATTATCTCCGTCATCGTGTGTGTAATAATAATAATAATAATAATAAACGGTTTATTGAAAAGTTTGCAGCCCGAAGGCTGAAAATATACATGGACATAAATGACTTATTACATACATTGGTAGTTTAACAAAAGCCTTCATTAGAGAAAGGTGAAGGAACATACAGTGAACATACAGATTAATGTTTACACACGTAGATCATGTGAGCTGAGGTGTTGAACAGCAGACACGTAGTGTAGTAACTCCCTCACAGATGGCGTTATGAGGGGCATCACGTGGAGTACTAGTTTTCTCACAGGTGGTGTTGTGAGGGGCACAGTAATTCCCTCACAGATGGTGTTATGAGGGGCATCCGCATGGCGTGTGTGTGTGTGTGTGTGTTATTAACCCTCGACCCAAGCAGAGGTATATAACAGTCACACTCAATAGGTTAGGTTAGCTTGGGTTAGGTTAGGTTAAGGTGAGTTAATGTTAGATTATGTTAGTTAAGGTTAGGTGACCTCGGGTTAGGTTAGGTTAAGGTTAGATTGTGGTTAAGTTCGGCAAAAAGTTACATACCCGTGTAATGTTGTGTTTATTTTTGTTACAGGTGTGTTTAAATGCTGCCGCCATCTTGGACTATCAGCTGCGTGGGTGACGTCATCGGCTGTTCCACTCCAAACACGCTTCCTGTCCTTCTTGTGACGTTACCAAACACGCCAACGGCCACTATCTCAAGAAACACCAGATCAGCGCCAAACACCCTAACTTATCTTCAAGAAACCACCAAACCAGTCAACTTACCTCTAGATCATCGCCAAACACGCCAATCCACCTCCCTACAAAAACCCGCCCTAAACCACGCCAAACTCGCCAGGGCAGAATGCTTCAACACCCGTCATGGCGGCCTACAGTGACTTACCATATAAAAGTGACGATAATACAGTGAGTGTGTGATGTAGCGAGGCTTCGGGACGGTGCAGGTGATACGTGTTATTCACTTTATATGAAGACGTATCGAAGACTCAAATCATAACGTTCTGTCAGTGAAGGGAAAAATCTTTGACATTGTATCGGTTAGTCGGTCAGGGTGGTGGTGGTGGGGGGGGTGTATATATGTGCGTGCGTGTGTGTGTATTGTCTGTATGTGTAAAGAGGTCAGTGACGCTTGTAAAACTGTATTGAATGTATGCAGAGCGACGCCGGCACATGTTCAGATTATCAAGAGGGTAATATACAGGGGTTGTCTATACTCCTGTAAACTGTCGTGTGGGCTAGACCAACAGGCCCAGGTATACAGTTCACAGCCTGTATGGTTGTCTGAAAATACTCTCTGTTAAATCGCCCGTCAGACCAACCAGAGAAAATGAAGACAATAACGAACTGACGAAATGATTAAGAGGAAAATGATGATGGGAGTAGTGTTGTTGGTGGCGAGTTTGACTGGTAGCTGGAGTGTCGCCTCGCCTTCTCTCCCTCAAGTTGACCTCTCTGCTTCCTCCTCTCCCCGTCCTCTCACTTATCACCCTCACCCTCACCCCCATCAGGAAGGTCATCATCAGCTAAGAACAGACCTCACAAGTGATGCAGATAATGAGAGGAACAAGAGTGTATTGAGTATCGGTAGTGATTCCAGTAAGAGTTTGGTTCATCTCGGTGTGTGGAATGTTGTCGGGGAACAGTATAGATCGAGGGTGATAGTGGAGGGTGGAGGGCCAGGAACTACAGTGGAGTATAGTGGAGGGCCAGGAACTACAGTGGAGTATAGTGGAGGGCCAGGAACTACAGTGGAGTATAGTGGAGGGCCAGGAACTACAGTGGAGTATAGTGGAGGGCCAGGAACTACAGTGGAGTATAGTGGAGGGCCAGGAACTACAGTGGAGTATAGTGGAGGGCCAGGAACTACAGTGGAGTATAGTGGAAGGCCAGGAACTACAGTGGAGTATAGTGGAGGGCCAGGAACTACAGTGGAGTATAGTGGAGGGCTGGAAGAAACTAGAGAGGAGGGAAATAGTGGAGTAAACAGTAGAGGAGGGAGGGAGCGTCGTGGTGAGGGCCGTCATCGCTCCAGACATCACCACAATCAAACAAACACGCGCAGAACACGAGACAGACGCCGCCAAGGTAACCAAAGGAAAACAAGAAGAAATGAAGATAACAACACAAGAGGGCAGTCCCCAGGTGACAGTAGCAGCAGCAGCAACAAGAGACGAAGGAATAAGATACCCAACAACAGATTCAGCCGAGATAACAGGACCTTCGACAGACCCCCCAAGAAGACCCTCAAGACTGGAAATCGTCGACGTAAGAGACCCAACAAATGGAACACTCCTAATAAACGTAAGTAACAGTGATTTATTTTAATTTCTTTACTAATAATAAACCTTTAATATATTTACAAAGACATGACGTTATTTATAGATATATTTAAGTTAATTTAAGTTCATAATCTCCATCAAACCTCAATGTAAATGAGTACTACGGGTTCGTGTGTGTGCATTCCTCCGCCATGTAAGCAAAGTAGTTCCTAGCTTTAATGCTCGTACTACAGATATAAATAATGTATCTCTTAATGTTTCTGGCGTAAAAAAAAAAAAAATTACAGATTAAGTCACTAATATGTGGTCATTAAGTAAATTAGTTTGTTAATTTATGTAATATGTATATTTAGTGGCGTTGTGTATAATGTTCTGTGAATGTATACAGCGTCTGTTTATTTTGACCGTTTTTATCCTGTTCCTCTTCCTCCTCCCCTCCTCTTCCTCCTTCTCTTCCTCCTCTTGGTTTTCTTGTCCTTGTCCTTCTTCCTCTCTCCTCTTCCTCCAGTTCTTCCCTGTTCTCTTCCTCCTCCCCTCCTCTTCCTCCTCTTGGTTATCTTGTCCTTGTCCTTCTTCCTCTCTCCTCTTCCTCCAGTCCTCAATTTCTTCTTCCCAATCCTCTGTCTTCTTCCTCCTTCTCCACCCCCTCCACTTCTTCCTGGTCTTCCTCCTCCTCCTCCTGCTGGTGGTAGTGACGATCAAGTACCTAGTGAGGCAGGGTGAGGCAGGGTTATGAGGCAACAGATGAGGCAGGGTAGGTGAGACAGGGTGAGGCAGGGTTATGAGGCAACAGATGAGGCAGGGTAGGTGAGACAGAGGGTGAGGCAGGGTTATGAGGCAACAGATGAGGCAGGGTAGCAGAGCAGAGGGTGAGGCAGGTTATGAGGCAAACAGATGAGGCAGGGTAGGTGAGGCAGGGTGGCATGGAGGTAAGGGTGTTGGACTGTGTATGGCAGGGAGGAGTGTGGCTGTGTCGTGGGTCACTTAGGAGGATTGGGGTGTGTGGGCACTTTGGATGTGCGGGTGGCGGGAGAGTGTCTGACGTGCGTGGGTGGCGGGAGAGTGTCTGACGTGCGGGTGGCGGGAGAGTGTCAGGTGTGTGCGTGGGTGGCGTGGGAGAGTGTCTGATGTGCGTGGGGTGCGTGGGAAGTGTCTGGAATGTGCGTGGGTGGCGTGGGGGTTCCTGGCGTGTGTTACAAAATAAGTGGACTGACACGTGTAGGAGGCATGAGAAAGTTGGTACGAGAGAGAGAGAGAGACTTGAAACATCCCTGACTGACTTACCTGGATTAATATTTCTTTCCGTGGAGCGCACACACACACACACACTCATTGTTACTGTTTGTTAAGCAATCTTTTGCCCCTTGTGGTCTGGTTGTTATTTCTTCAATAAACTCCTAATTGTTATTTTATTATTATTATTGTTATTATTATTGTTGTTGTTATTGTTGTTATTATTATTGTTATTTTATTATTATTATTGTTATTATTATTATTGTTGTTGTTATTGTTGTTATTATTATTGTTATTTTATTATTATTATTGTTATTATTATTATTGTTGTTGTTATTGTTGTTGTTATTATTATTGTTATTTTATTATTATTATTGTTATTATTATTATTGTTGTTGTTGTTGTTGTTATTATTATTATTATTATTATTATTATTATTATTATTATTTTAATTATTATTATTACTGTATTGTTATTGTTGTTGTTGTTCAGTTTGTGTTTGCTAACGTGAAGAACAACAGCTAACACACTATAACCGAATATCTGATGTATGTTTTGTCCAGTAAGTGTTCTGTCCAGTGAGTGTTCTGTCCAGTGAGTGTTCTGTCCAGTGAGTGTTTTGTCCAGCAAGTGTTCTGTCCAGTACTGTGAGGAAGGTCTGGATACCTGCCAAGACAGACCACTTGTGAATTGTTATATAAATATTAACTGGAGGCTTGAGGTGAATCTTCCTCTTCATCCTCCTCCTTTTCCTCCACCTCCTCTTCCTACGTCCTTAATTAAAAATATACACACACACACACACACACACACACACACACACACACACACACACACACACACACACACACACACACACACACACACACACACACACACCTACATCTTCTAGCTGTATTGTTGCATGCCTCTTCTTCTTTCTCCTCCCTCTTCCTCCTCTTCGCCCCTTCCTGCTCTTCTTCTCCTCCCTGTTGCCCCCCCTCCCCCTCCTTACCCTCTCCTCTCCCTCCCTCTTCCTCCATTCTCGTCCCCCAATCAGTGGCAAGTGTGTGTGTGTGTGTGTGTGTGTGTGTGTGTGTGTGTGTGTGTGTGTGTGTGGTGTGTTCTCTCTTAAACATTCGAGGAACGCCGGACTCTCCTGTGTTTATAATGTTTACAACTTGACAACCGACTCTACGGAACTGTAGACGTATCCAGTGTATATTATCCTACAGCAGATGTTTATTAGTTAAATTTCTAATGTTTACAACTTAATTTTCGATGTTTAGATGATTTTTTATGTATTCAGGACTAATTTTTTTGGGACACTAGATGTTTATAGTCACCCACCAGCCCCCAGTAGACTATGACTCGTGGATGAGAAGTGAAAATAAACACTAGGGTAGTCTTTATAACACTGAGGTTCATTCACACCTTCCTGGGCAGACAACACCGTGTGCTCAGCCTCCCACCTCCGCCAACACACTAAGTGGTTCCCTTCATTCCTCACGCTTATATATATACTACATACTGTGGTGGTCATACTTCACGTCTCTCACACTGGCGTCTCGTGTTTCTTCACGCTGTTATAAAGAGTTGAGTGAACTTAATGTAAACTAGCCTGATTTAATCTAACTAATCCTTGCCGTATTGGATGTGATCTAGTCGCACCTTACCTTACCTCCTAACCTAACCTAACCTAACCCCAGACCACTGTCACACACACACACATAGAGAGGTGCGGAGTAGTGGTGGTGGGTCACTTGAAGGCGGGGGAAGGGGGGGGGGAAGGGGGGGTGAGGACAAGGAGATGAAGAATGTGACACACTTTGTTTGTGGTCCTGACGTCACTTAAAGTCTCATTGGTTCATACAGCACACACACTCACTCGCACTCACTCACTCAATCTATCACACACACACACACACACACTATATATTATTTTACATTGGTTAGGTTAGGTGGATGGATAGTGTTTACGCATCAGTGAATATGATGGTGGTGGTGATGGTGGTAGTGGTGGTGGTAGGGGTGGTGATGGTGATAGTGGTGGTGGTAGGGGTGGTGATGGTGATAGTGGTGGTGGTGGTGGTGGAAGGTGGTGATGGTGATAGGGTGGTAGTGGTGGTGGTAGGTGGTGATGGTGATAGTGGTGGTAGTGGTGGTGGTGGTGATGGTGGTAGGGGTGGTAGTGGTGGTGGTGGTGATAGTGGTGGTGGGGTCCTGTTGTGGTTGTAGCTTGAAGAGGTGGGGACAGTATAGTGTCAGTATAGTATCAGTGTAGTGTCAATATAGTGTCAGTGTAGTATCAGTAGTGTTCAGTGTAGTGTCAGTGTAGTGATGGTCTGGTCGCGTCTGTTGATTCAATCTGTCATTAGTGTTGTGGCTGACCTGACCCATGACAGTGCCACACCCCAGGACAGTGACCCCTACTACCCACGGTTAATGGCACTCCCCTTGACAGTAGTGGCACTGACCTTGGGCGTGAGTTTTAAAGAGTGACAATTAACTAAAATGACGATAAGTTTGAGGGATAGAGTGAGGGAGAGAGTGAGGGAGTGGTTGGTGGTGTGAGGGAGTGGTTGGTGGTGTGAGGGATGAGGGACAGCTGTAGTGAGTGTCACCAACACTGTCACATTATGACAGTTTGTGCCACCTGTCCAACAGTGAAACCTGTCACTCGTGTCCCAGCCCGTGTGTTGTGTTGTGTTGTGTTAGAATAGGTTAACTTAGGTTAGACACTGTACAAAGATGAAGGTGAACAAATCTGTGTGTGTGTGTGTGTGTGTGTGTGTGTGTGTGTGTGTGTGTGTGTGTGTGTGTCAGACGCCTTATATGTATCAATAAGTGTCCCTTGTGTGGACCTGTGCGGCTTCACGCCCTCATTTGTTTTAACTCACAGTGAGGGCCGCCCCAGCCAGGCCTCTCCTCACTTAACCTAACCTAACCCAATGTTACCTGGGGTTAGATTTGGTTAGGTTAGACTAGACTAGGTTAATGTTAGATTAGACTAGGTTAGATTAGTGTTAGATTAGATTAGGTTAGGTTAGACTAGACTAGGTTAGATTAGTGTTAGATTAGGTTAGGTTAGTATTAGATTAGGTTAGGTTAGACTAGACTAGGTTAATGTTAGATTAGACTAGACTAGGTTAATGTTAGATTAGACTAGGTTAGATTAGGTTGTTAGATTAAACTAGATTATTTTAGGAAAGGTTATTTTAAGTTGGGTTAGGTTAGGTTAGCATTAAGGAGTATAATCTCAAGGTGAAATAAATATCACATAGGGGAGGCGACCTAATCTTAACCTTCTTTAGGAAATCCGGTTCTTCTGGGCAACACCTTGATTATTAACTCACAGGTGTTGCCCCATCAAGCAGGTGTTTACGCCAAGGTGTACCCACATTAGTACTGAGTCAACCTGTTTAATTATGGTGTGTGTGTGTGTGTGTGTGTGTGTGTGTGTGTGTGTGTGTGTGTGTGTGGTAGTAGTAATGTGTGTGTGTGTGTGTGTGTTAGGTAATTCAATGGAGTTTACTATTTTGTCATTTAATTACACTACATTGATGGGTTAGGTTAGGTTGGAGTTAGAGTTAGGTTAGGTTAGGTTAGGTTAGGTTAGGTTAGAGTTGGGTTAGGTTAGGTTGGGTTAGGTTAGGTTAGGATTGGGTTAGGTTAGGTGAGTAGGTTGGGTTAGGTTGGGTTAGGTTAGGTTAGGTTAGGTTGGTTCAGGGTCAAAATTTAGATGTGAAGAATGAGAGGTAGGTGGTAACCTGGGTCCTCTGCTATAGAATAACTTATCAGATATGAGCG